ACTGGTCCCCCCCCACCCCACCACCACCTCCCCTCTTCGCTTCATCCTCTGCCCCGAGTCTGCGCTCCCATCCAGCCGCAAAGCCGCCTCTCTCCTTCTTCTTCTTGCTGTGGTTTTTCTTAATTCCCTGTCTGCTCCCTCTCTTCCATCAGCTTTTTGCAACTTCTATCGCTCTCTCTGTATCTTCGCAGTCGCTCCGTCTATTTTCATGCATTGCACCCACACACACACACACACACACGCACACACATTCTCATTCACTCTTTCCCTCTGTTCTCTGTTCTCTCCGCAGACCCTCACTGTCACTTTCTTGATACAAGGCGCCTCTCTCTCTCTCTCTCTCTCTCTCTCACACACACATACACACTTTCTCGGCATCTGTGTCGCCCTCGTTCCTCTCTCTCTCTCTCTCTCTCTCTCTCTCTCTCTCTCTCTCTCTCTTCTTTGCTTTTACTGTCAGAGAAGCTGTCAGAGCAGCAGTGGTGAGCAGCAGCCTTTCAGCTCACTCACACACGCAACATACACACACATACCTGGAATACAACCGCATGAATGAGAAGCTGCAATAATAGCACGCTGACCCTGTGGTGCTCCTCTGCTATCAAGCCGGAGATGAGCGCTATGTGACAGGGAGCGTGTTTGATTATCATCTGTCCATTACCAGTGTTTGTGTGTTGATCCGATGGGGTGTTTGTGTGTGTGAGAGAGAGAGAGAGAGAGAGAGAGAGAGAGAGAGAGTGTCATTCCAGTGATGACTGATTGGTGCTGTCTGGAGTCAGGACGGCTGGGCGAGGACCCGAACACACCATCATTCACATCCAGTTGATCTCCGTCAAGTCTCTCTCTGTCTGTCTCTATCTTTCTCTGTTCTCAAGGGTCGGTTCATCCAAATTTTATTGAACAGAACTGATGTGCTCAGTTCATTTAGGAGCAAGCACACTAGCAGACAAGACCAGTGATTCAGTAAAACACTAGATAACATTCAATGATGATGTATTTTTTCATTCAATGTATTTGAAATGATTTGTTAATTAAACATATTTGCAGGTTAGTGGAAAGGAGCATAAAAATTGGTTTTAGGGATATTATTTCACTAAAAGCACGACTACTGAAGATGATATGGACATTTTCAAACCAGGACTTTTATCAAATATATGACGTTTGGGACAGTCGAGGTGGCCCTTATATTTGAGTTAGAGACACTTCCTGTTTGAGTGAAAGACAAATATTGTAGGCAAACACAATGGCCACAGCGCTTAAAGATTGCACAAAGGCTGAAGGATTTTTCCATCCTCAAGGTCTTTCTTATATGATGAACAAGTTTCAAGTGGATTAGATGAATTCCTTACTAGGAGTTTTTCCAAGAGCGACCTGTTAGTCCAAGAAATGGCAACAAATAAAATGTGATTCAACAATAAATTTTAAAATTGTGGACTTAAAGTTGAATTACCAATATGGGTCTAAGAGAGGTTTTTAGTTGTTGTCAGGGACACAACAGATCCATTTTGTCTTGGCCACTCACATAGTCTTAATATAACTTCTAATTTCCCTGATGGCCTCATGTCTACCAAATTTTGTGACAGTACTAGAATAATAAGCCTCTCCAAAAACATCTTGTTTTATGGCGTACACTGTATTGCCATAGCAACAGGGTGCTACAGGGACTGATGAGCTCTGCAATTGAGCAAAGCGCAGATCTTGGGAGATGGCTGACAATTAAGAGAACTAGTATGCGTGAACGATGTGCCGAGTTGTTTATGTAAACACACTGTTGGGTTCATCGTGTTCGCTGGTCAAAGGGGTTGGAAGTCATTAATTCCCAGCTCAACAGCTGGTTGGGTTACTTTGACCCAACTGTTGCTGGTTCATTTGTTTTCAGGCTTGTCCTTGGTTAATCTTGCTGGATCATTCTCTCACAGCCAGATGTTCACACCACACATGTTGGGCAGGATTTAAATGTTGGGTTTACATGAGGATTTTACTCATATTTTAATAGGTTATGGGCACACCAAACTTTGCAACAGCGTTCCCTTTATAATAACTGAAAAACACTTTTCAGATGGGGGATGAGTTTTGAGTTTTCCTTCTGTTTTATTCCGACAATGAAAACGACTTAACTAGCATGTAGTTCTCCATCCTGGGTCCATAGTACCCGGTTTCGATCCCCATTCCTATTCCTCTTTCAGGACTTGCTACAAAGTTGAAGTGCACTTACCACGGCTACTTCGAATGGAGGAGAGGGGTGACTGTCCCTCGGCACCAGACAGCCAATCATTCATGTTTGCATGCTTCTTGCAGCAGCAGCAGTCTGAGTTGACAGAGTTTTTTTTTCTACCGGACGACTGTCGAATGCTGCATTTTGGTTTGATTTGATGCACTATGTGCATTGGTCATGGAGGATGTGTTCCTCCCCTTTACAAGAAATGATTCAGCACCATCATTTGGATTTTGCTTCTCTCTTGTCTTTTGTTTTGGTCAAATGTAACCAAACACTGAACCTTTTTGTAAGTTCAGCCACCTGACTACCAGAATTCTTATTTGTGTAGTTTAGAACCTGTTGGCTGGTATTCCAAATTTCTTAAAAAACTCAGGGTTAGAGTTAGTGGATGACAGTGGATGTAGGTTTGATTAGACTGAAACGACTTGACTGGACTCGAGAAATGACGTTATACGAACCAAAAGACTCAAAAGCAGTATCGACAAGTTCAAAGGATTTTGATTTTTCAAGTTTTGAAAAATGCAGAACCGGGTCCTCAATAGAACCAGGTTTTGATCCCCAACCATATTCCTCAACACCTGCACTTTCAAAGTTGCCACTTCAAGGAAGATTCTCTCTGCTGTGGCACTAAATGAATTTGCACTGGATATAAATAATGAAGTTCAGCAGAGTCCAATATAAACACATTTGCTGGAGACAGGATGCTTTCTCCAGCAACGATATACCTGTGAAATCTCTCCTCAGTGAGGTCATTTAAAGCGATCAAAACATTGTTTCTGGGGAGAGACACGTTGCAGTTGGAATATTTTTTAATGAAACTTTTCAATGTTGTGAGCACCGCAAACAAAATTGCATTCACCTCCATTATATATCGTCAAGAAAGCAAGAAATCTCAAGAGAGTATCAGCGTGGCAAGATGCGGTAACAGGTAAAGAGGAAAAATTCATCTTTTTTGTGTTCTGGGTGAGCTGACCCTTTAAACAAAAAAAATCTGAGGCTTTTAAAAAAGCAACAATCTCCAGACTCCTCTTCCCCTCTTGTCTCCTGTTCTCAGCTCGTCTGTAACAAAAAGAGCAGATAATCTGTCCTCAGGCAGGCAGCTCTCCCATTTCTCCCTCCTCTCTTTGTAGCTTCAGTCCATTCTTTCGATTCATTCCAATCCATAATTATAGCAAACACCAACGCTGCCAAGGCGTCAGGACCAGAGACGGGCATTTTTTTCTGCATTACAAAGCCCGAGTGGAGCCATTTTCACATCAATAAATAACTATCATATTATATCATCATATCACATTAGTGTAATCAGTGTAGAAAAAGGCTTTTGCAAAGATGATCTAGCAGTTTTAACGCTGTGGTTTTAAGATTTGATGGGACATCTGGAGAGCTTTAGAAACAGACAGAGGGCGCTGTTCTGTCTGTGCAAACAGGGCTTTAAGCTTATAGAGTTTGTGATGACGGCAGATGGTGGAAGGAGCAAAAGGGCGACAGAAACAACACTTCCAACTTGTTTGTTCTGCTCGGTAAAGCAAAACAGAAAACCTTTGACTGATGAAGCAAACAAGAAACAGGGGAAGGGGGGGATGGGGGGGGGTTTACATGGAAACACAGGCTTAATTTGGAGAGACACCACCACTGCCAATACCACTGGTGCGAGTCAGAGGCTGCCAATCGTCCCCTTGATTATCAGTTTATCTGTTAGAAGAAAGCCGGTTAATTTGTCCTCTCATGACATCCTCGCTGCGCTTTCTATTTCTCCCCTCCCTGCTTCTCTCTCTCTCTCGCTCTCTCTCTTCCCAGCTCATTTCTCTTGTTTATCAGTAACAAAATACCAGGCAGTCTGACCTCATGCAAAGCTCTCCCTATCTCTGTTTCTCTGTTCAGCCTCATCCCTTCATCCTCTCCTCCGCCCGTCCTTTTATTGCCGGATTCTGCCGTTATCCCCGGCTCGATCCGACCCACGCTATATATCTCTCACTCTCTGTTGTGTCGCTCTCGGTTGCAGATATGTAGCAGCTCAACGGATGACACACACGCACAAATCTTTGCAGAAATAAACTCTGCATCAACACACACACACACACACACACACACACACACACACAGAAAAACAATAAACGCAAACACACATGCGGTTCCTGGATGCATGCATGGGAATTAATTTAGAGGATCAAAACATGAAGGAGTGATGGGAGAGAAGGGCACAAACACACTGACAGCATGTTTTTTTCTGCACTTACACACACACACACACACACACACACACACACACACACACACACACACACACACAAAAGCAGCATGATCTTGCACTTGTATACACACATAAGCAGGCAGGACACACAGAGCGACAGCAGGCAACGTGGCAAGCACGCGACACACACACACAGCAGGATTTCACAAATACACACACACAATCAAAAACAGATATAAACACACTCTAAATCCCCACACACACACACACACACACACACACACACACACACAGTGATATCCTCAGGATCACACAAACACTCACTGCAAGCCCACAAAGAAATGCACACACATGCACACACACGAGCACAAACCACATCCTTTCATTCCTGCGGAATATCCTTGCAGCGACACACACACATAACCACACCCATGCACTCTCCTCACCACACACACAGATCCAGCACGAGTACAACAACAGCAGACACACGGCCAGCACACATTCTTTCTGACCCCGCAACTCAAAGACACACACACACACACACACACACACACACACACACAGCATCCACACACTCGCTGCGTGCCTCACCTTCCAGCTCCAGGGTTCCTCGGTACCAGCGCAGCCTGGCGGGGGGTTTGCTGCCCGTGCTTGTGCAGGTCAGGGTGACTTTGCCCCCCTCGGGCACCGCATTCTCAAAGCCTGAGATCTGAGGTTTACCGGGCACACCTAGAGAGAGAGAGAGAGAGAGAGAGAGAGAGAGAGAGAGAGAGAGAGAAAAAAGAGCAGTTAGAGAGGGGAAAGTTTTTGCTGCAGGGCTCACCTTGTAGCCAAACGGAAGCAAAAAGAGGTCGTGGGACGATGGCTTAGCTCAAGCAGCAGCATTTTTTGCTAAACTTGTTGTGTGCTAAATTGAAGGGCAAAAAAAGCCACAACATCTGACACAGCATCCTCAACATAACAGCAGAAGTTGAATTTATTTCGTCAATTCTGAAAGCTCTGATGGAAAGCAGCTTAGGGAGAAAAATAATGATGTAGGTTTGGACGGGTTTCCCCCCCGAAAAAATGCTTCCGAGTAGCTGCACAGCTGCTGAAATGTCTGTAAATCTTCTGACCTTCCTCCAGCATCAAACCTGCTGTCTCCTCATCAGTGTCCATCAGGGCAAAGTACACTCCAATATCTCTGTTTCACTGACAGGCAAACACTTAAGGCTGTCCAAATAATGACTAGAGTGTCTCACAAGCGGAGGCGGGCGTATAGTTTAATGCTGTTAAAGCACCAGAAAAACCTCTGAGGGAGGTGGTTAGGTTGTGGGTTTAATACTTGAGATCCCCATTTGAACCACAATTCATACCAAAAAAATTCCCGTTACTTTTATCCAGGACCACAGTCTTTCACTAAGTGTATGAAGGCATTATTAGTGCTTTAACTAACCACACATCAACCCCGAGTGGTGGCAGACCATAAACCAGTTATGTGAATCATTTCCTCAACAACCTTTTGAAATGGATTCTGCTCGAAGTATCTCTGATCTGATCTCTGACTCGACTTTTCAATGAGTTTGGAGGACTGCTTCGATAGAAAAACATTGTCTTGCTGATACCAGATCAGTGCACTATAAAAGTGATAAGAATCATGTGAATGCAAGAACAATCAATGGTTAAAGTCCCTATAGAACATAGAAAGAGTGAAAGTTATAATATGGGACTTTTCATTCAGTAGATGTCGCACTTTAGCACCAGTCTCCCTCAGTGCACGACTCCCCTCCTCCCTCCGTCCCTCCATCGGGGTTCTGACCGAGTGGAGCCATTTCTACAACAGATCTCCAATCACATATGCAACCCAAAAATCATAAGGTTCTTATTTCTTTGAAGGATTTTAGACCAAACAGAGACGTTTCTTCAGTTTGGAACCTATGCTGGTTCTTCGTCACCTTGCACTCTTGTGATGAAACTCTGAACTCTGAACCTGTGACTCTACATAAAGCGTCCCTGAGTGGGTGGAGAAATCTCTCTTGGTGGAAGGGCTGACGGTTATACAGGGAGGGGTTCAACAGTAAGAAAAAAACAAAAACAAAAGAAAGATGTTTGAGCTGAGAATAGAATATATCTTTATTGTCATTGCTATAAAAACTAGAAAAACAGTTTAGCAGCTCTTGTCATTTGCAGCACACACAGACGGACCTAGAAATTATAATGTAAAGACGTAATGTGTTGTCCTGTATTTAGGTAGGATATATTTGATATCTGCTCTATGTTTAAAATGTTTCAACAATTGGTTGGAAAAGTCTGCAGAGTTTGACGTCCTGCACACACAAATAAGTGCAACTAACAAAACAGCAAAGATAGTTCTTTTATATATTTGACTGAGACCTGAGCAGGAGTGTTTGCATTTAAATGTTTCAAGGTAAGAAGAAAGTAAAACCAATCTCTGTCGGTCTTATATTCTAATATATTCTGTATTTTGTGAAGAACTTTGAGTTTCTTTCTTTATTTATGAATGAATGGATCTATTGAGGAGCTGAAGTTTTGGGGCGTCCCTTGTTAATACTTCATGGCTATACACAGTGGACTCTAACTGAGTCTAGAAACTTGCACAGAGCTGCACGATCATAAATTGTATTGATTAGTTGACCCAAATTTCCAAACTGTTTTGATGAAATATTAATGCTTTCAGTGATGTTTAAAGCAGGAATGCTGAACATTTGCTGGTTTCAGATTCTCAAAGGTAAGAATTTGCTGCTTTCTCTTCCCCCCCCCCCGAGAGTCTTTGGATTGTTGATTGCATTTTTTGCACCGAAAAAGAAAGCTTAAAGACATCTGTTTGGATTCTAGGAAATTGTGGTGAGCAATTTAACATTTTTCCTGAAGAATTTGAACACCTGAAATGAATGAAATCACATTTTTAAGCAAGACTCAAAAACATCTGAGCAGCATGCTTGCTTAACAAAGAGAACAAGTCCCCCCCAAAAAAAAAAAAAACCAAAAGAAGACAAATTCCTCCATTAACTCAACATTGCAGTTGTACATGTGGAAAACATATAAAGTATTTATTCCTACAAATGCAGTGAAGTCCCAATAGGGAGCATGTCCGCCTACTGAGATAAACATGGAAAGCCAATTAATTCAATGAGAGAAATAATGACGTGCTATTGCTTTAAAATCAGCAGCGGAGGATCTACATTAACTCTGAAAGCCTGGTCATTTCCACATTTCAGAATCGCTCCGGTAAATAAAACTGTGCGACTGCTCACTTTCCGTACTTCAGGTCAGTTCAAAATGTCACACAAATTCAATTCTGCTCAGATTATTAAATAAGACTCCCAGAATTAATTAGTTAAAAGCCAAGATGGGAGTTAGAGTGACTCAGTAGACTTAATGGTTTTTTTTAGGAGGGCATTTGGAGCCGCGTGTGATAGTTTGAAAGAAAAAGCGAGAGGGAGAGAGGGATGGAATGAGGTCAGGTTCAAAACCACTTCAGCCAAATGAGAGACCTCTGGCCAAACCAAAATTTCACGGTACATCTTCCCGCTCTCCCACAGGTGTTCTTCCAGAAGCCGGGACGGGTCATTTACGATAACAAACACTGCAGCTTAATTACTATTCTGACTCGGAGCACACGGAGAAGTGAGAAAAAGAAGACCAGGAACATGCCAAATTATTTTTTTTCTTTGTCTTTCTCATCGTGGTCGAAAAAGTGAGAGCGGAGAAAATGAAACTTTTCTCGGCACCGTTCCATCTGGAGTCACTGTGGGCGATACTTTTTCTCCAAATGTTGGACCGGTTTACTGTCATCCTGCTTCAGTAAAGGAGAACATTCGGTTTTCTGTCTACCACACCGCCTTCATTAAGAGAGAGAGAGAGAGAGAGAGAGCTGAAAGAGTAGAAGCAAAGTGAGGTGGATGGAGAAGGTAGATTTGGAAAGGGGAAACCAAATCATGACAGATCATACCAGGAGAGGAGCTGATTTATGTGGATTGAAACTGACAAGATTGTGTGCCTGTTTATGATGTTTTTTTTCAATGTGACATTTTTGTGACACCTAGGGCGAGATAAATAAACAGAGGGAGGGACGGTTGGACGGATATAGATTGACAAAAACAAACAAACACACAAACAAATACAGAACATAAAAAGGGTTCATAATAGGAAGAAAGTTAGAAAGAAAAGAAGAGCCAGGAACAGCCAGTATTATCAGGGTTACTTGATAATACTGGCTAATAATCGATAATCGAAACCTTTAACTTCTAGAAAATTTGATTTCTCTTAACATCAAAACCTCGCTCTTCCTCGTGGTAAGATTGATCACGCACAACCGAGCAAACCACCCTCTGGTCTTTAGAGAGCTTATAAAAAAGGAGCCAAAATGCCCTCCCTTCATTTGAAATGCTCTTTGACCTTCATGAAGGCGCTAAAGTAAAAACTTTGGTGTGTCCAAAAAGGTTCTAGTATTTTTACATTTTCAACACAGACACGTGTGTAACTTTTAGTTTTCTAAACCATCATGGCCTCATAAGAACTTGAATCTATTGACATTTCAAAAGCTGATGTTTTTATAATTTTTTTTAAAGCTGTTACGGTGTAAAAAGTGACCATGTTAACTGGTGACTTCTAACCGAATGCTTCTGTGATTATCATAGTAACAACAAATGTTGAAAACTGAAAGTGTCCAAACCAATGTCTCTTTGTTTACTTTTTATGTAATGTCAAAAATACCGATCATATATAACTTTAACTACAACAACCACCGACTCATTTGACTGAAAGTCACAAATTAACATGGTCACTCTTTAAACCGTAACACCGTTAAACATTTACATTATGTGCAATTAACAGAATTATGTGATTAAATGGTATCAAAGTTAACGTCTTTTTGAACCAAAACTTCACTGTTCCCCCGTCTGACAGACAGACACATACTGTCGACACACAAACGCACAAACACACAGACACAAACACAGACAGACACACAAACACAAACACAGACAGACACACAGACACAAACACAGACAGACACACAGACACAAACACAGACAGACACACAGACACAAACACAGACAGACACACAGACACAAACACAGACAGACAGGAAAGCATGGATTTAAAGTGCAGTGAACTAACTAAGGTGTAGATCAAAAAAATAAAAACGTGGTCAATTTTTAATGTAGCAGTATTTGATGTAGTGCTCTGTGTGCGGAAGCTCTCTGGCTGTAAAGTAGCATTGAATATTAATGGGGGAATAATACTGCACATATAGAACCGGTTGGAAAAGCCCTGTTGAGACCCCTCTCCTACAAGGAGAATAAAACAGAATAAAGCCGTTATAAATTATTCTCTGCTTAGCTCAGGAGAGAGCACAGATGCATGACACACATCTTACCTCCGCAGACACACAGGCATCGCAAAACTGACCGCACTCAGCAGTTATACGCCCGTGTGTGTTTGTGTATGTGTCTATCAAAACATTCCTCATGTCAAAACAGGAATAAACCGAACGCATGAGCACCGCTGTGCCAAAACTGGATATCTTTGGCTGATTGTCCCCATAGGGGCCTGTGCATTTTAGACATTTTACCATACATTTTTAATGGTTTGGCTCCCCCTCAGGGGTCATGAAATATTTATCGGACGCAGAATACAGTGTCACAGCTGTCAATTACAGCACATAAAAAATGCTTGAATCATAATTTACTGCAGCGAACCGGTAGAAGAAAAAAAAAACGGAGTAGTGAGCCTCATCTTAATTTGAATTTAAAGAGCTAAAGTAGAACCCGCCTTCACCCTTGCTCCGACACTCCTTCCCCTCCCCCGCCCCACTCACACACAAACATCACATTAACATTACAGGCGTTCTGCTCAGGCTGTTGTCCTCGGCGACTACATTGAATTCTTTTCAACACACCTTGCAGCGCTGCCAAAAAACATTTGAATAAATATCGACTAAATGGTTTATTCAAGGGTGCTTCCACAGCTGTTTACTGACAAAACTCAAATTTGGGCAGCAACCTTGTTGACTCTCAGTCATTGAACAGCCGCTGTAAATATCAGTCACCCTGCCCCACCCTTAAATTAAAAAAACAAAACAAAAGGAAGCATCTCTTGTTTCCACTAAGTGCATTTTTAGATGAAATTAGGCCGAAATGCTCCGCAGCTCAGTTTTCATCCAACAATTTCTTGGCAAATTGTGTTGCATTGGATTAGAAAAGCAGAGTGAAAACAGGCAAAAACTGATGCCTAAATATCACAAAGAAGCTTACAAGTATGCAAAATTGAAGCCTCGTTTGTTGGCTAAGTGGATATGGAATTTATCGTGATCAGCACAAAGAATGATTCGATTTCATTACACAGCAATTTAAAAAAAAAAAAGCAGGCACCGGGGGCCTTGAAATGTTGGCCGTAAATCTGCCCACCACAACCTCCCAGGAATCTGACCAGCTGTCTCTCCTGTTCATACTGTGCGAGCCTCTCCTGTGGCCGCGCTGCCATTAGTTGCTGCATTACAGTATTGCCAAAGCACATAGCTTTGTTCTCATCATGAAGAGAGACCGTGAGATATGGCAAGAATGAACTGACATGGAGGAACAATAACAACCCGGCTAATACAAATCAATACTCGAAAGACGGTTTGTGGCGGCCCAAAGCCGATTAGCCCAATATCCAATCGATGAACAGGCCCGCTCACCACCAACAGGGCTGACCACGATTTATTGAAGCCTGCAGGGAAGTGTCACACACACAGGTGATAACATCCATCTCAAAGAAGATGAGTGGAGCAGGTTTATCTCTGCTCAAGAGTTATACGAGGTCGTAACCTTACACAAAGGTTAATTCTACACGCAGAGATCTGGATCTAACTGGATGAAGGCATCATGGCTGTGGAGGCCAGGCTGTCACAGCGTTATGGTGCATGGAAGGGATTAGACTTTGGAATATATCGGGCTTATTTATTTCTTTATTAGCTCATCTGTGACACGGCTATGAGGCAGAAATATATTTTTACTATTCCCTTTTCAAACGGGATCCCCTGAGGACTGTGTCAGGGTAAAGATTCTGCATTGACAGCAAACACTAAAAGCTCCGCAGCTCCCCAAATGTTTGACCCAAAGGCATCAAAGTTTACACCGATCCAGTTTGCATGAAAATGAAAAGTTGGTGGCGGTTTTTATAGCTGCATCATTGAACATTTCCTCCCGAAGATAGCCTGCTAAAGTCTTAACAATTTCCAATGAAGGAGCTGATGTAGTTTAGATTTTAATTTACAAACTGCACGGTGGCTTCACATAGGCCCTGATTTCAGACATTTTTTTTTATCAGAGATCGTTATCAATTCATCAAGCAAACAAACAACCTCCATGTGTCAGCGTTCAAAAATAATCCGATTTTGAAGAGGTATTAAGAAAAACTAAATGCAATCTGATTTTATAACTGAAGTGCACAAGTCTAAATTGTTACAGAACTTTACAAGGGATGAAGAAGAGGTATGCAGCCAAACATGTGGATTATAGCTCCACCACATACACAACACTACAATACAATACACAACTAATATTTGAAACGCACATCTCTCTTATTTGATTTTTTTCCTTTTTCGCCCAGCTAGCAAGTCCTTCCAAGTGTTCCCTACAGAGTTGGACTAATTCACTTCATATATTTCTCACGGTTTCTGTGTGCTTAATGGACCACATGCAGAACTGATGAGGTCACAAAGGTGCACATGTGTTTTAACAGCTGGAACATGTTACACTGTAGGCAATCTCAGCTATCTTCTTCTTACAGATAAATAAACCCTCTGGGAGCAACATGCAACATCGTGGAGCCAAGAAGTGTAAATGGACTTGAGCTTGTTCTTTTCTAGTCTTCTGACTACTCAAAGCGCTTTTACACCGCAGGTCACACCTACACGTTCACACACTGATGACAGAGGTTGCTATTTAAAGTGTCCATCATAGGCATTCATACGCAGCAGAAGAAGCAGCGGGAGCAATTTGGGGTTAAGTGTCTTGCCCAAGGACACGTCGGACATGTTGCTGCAGGAGCTGACCTTTCCGATTGGCAAACGACGACTCTACCAGCTGAGCAACAGCCGCCATTGTTAACAGTCTGACGAGCAACTTTAGAAGCAACAGTGGCGTTGGCGTCGAGAGGCAACGTCTAAGATCTGATTGCTAGCTGAATTTGAATGCAGACGTCTGTTAATAAATAAATAGGGCTAAACCGTCGTAACTGGACTGCCAATCAATTCAAGGATTGCATTAAAGCAGTTTTCGTTCTGCCTCTATCGCTCTCCACAGAGTCTTTTTAAATACATACAGCCAATGCCTTCAAAAACGCTAGTGGACGATAATACTCGTACAACATAATGGAAACCAAAATTATTCCAATACTAAAACCAGGTTGTGCGCCTGACGGATTTTCCCTGTTTCACCCAGACTCTGTAAATAGAGATTACATTTTAGGCAACACTCTACAGGATCTAATAATAAAATGCAATCAGGCTTCATTGTGGTTAATGTACTGTAGGATTCAATGTTTTGCAGCTTTCCCATATCAAGGTCTAAAAAAAAAAAAAACAGCTTCCCTTAGTCTTTGCTTCATTGACTGCAGTCATTTTTTTTTTTCTCACATCAGTCCTTCAAAAGTCCTCTAACTTTATAAAAGTGGAAAAACTGACCGATACTTCGCCTCCTGCCAACACACAGCTTCCCCTGAATGTGACACTTACAACAAACTTCCACAGGGTCAAACTTCCTTCTGCTCCGAGAGAGGCTCCACTCTGCAGGGTAGGTCAGGGCTGACACAATGCCACAGCAGTGCATCAAGGTGAAATTTGAGCCACTTTGTGCCACAACTTTCTATGTGTAGCCTGAAAACTGGCAGGTAATATAAAAGTAGACATTGTTGTAAAATGTGTCCCCAAACAACACGACAAGCGAGGAGAGAAATACAAAAAGAAAAAAGATGCCAAAAGCTTCTGAGGCATCCATTTATATGTGTCAAATCCTACGGGTTTTGGAGAAATGAAGATAGACCGCACTCAAACGGATTTCTACAGCCGTCAATCAGTCTCAAAGGAGACGTGTCTGGGTATGAACACAAGGAAGGCGGGAATGTCAATCTGCACCGCCGAGCCTCGGCGAGAAGAGACAGATTTTTTTAGAGAGAAAAATCTGAAGCAACCTTGGGATGGGCCTCACGGAGAGGGAACCTCTTTCAAGGACAGAGAGGATGCAGAAGAGTTGAAGTAAAGGGACATTTTCTACAATTATAATCAAAGAATATAATTTTTTTTTCTTAATCAAGAGCATTTAGAAAAAGTACAACATAATTTAAGGTCTGCATCCTGTTTATGGTCCCACAGAGATGACAGATGGACAGTGTGTAAGCAGAGTGAATATGGGTTGTGTATGTTGTGCCGCTCCTTTGACCTACCTAGCACGGTGACGGTGGCTCGGGCGGTGCGGACCGGCATGGTGAAGATGGAGCAGGTGTACTCCCCCTCGTCGGACAGCTGCACGTCCCCGATGGTGATGGAGAGCTCGGTGGATGTCGAGCGGTGCAGCTGGATGCGGTTATCTCGAAGCGCTGCAGGGTAGAGGAGAAACAGGATATCAATGATGACAAATGAGCTTATATAATTGATGAATTATTAAAGATTTGAAGTTTTATCAGGTGTGCTTTTTTTTATTACTTTTTGTCGTACTCTGATGAATCCTTTTCTAACCTATTGTAACTACAATGTTGTATTTTTAATAATGCAGTGGATGTCTTTTTATATCTTTTTTTTTTTCTCCCAAGGACTGGTTTCTTTTTTTATTAAAGAAGAAGGGGAATACAGCCAGAGGAAGCGGAGGCATGCAGAGAGAGGGGGCAGAGTACGAGCGAGGTATAAATGGGACAGAAAGACGGAAGAGAAACAAGGACTAGAAGAATGAAAAGTGGGAGGAAAGATGACAGGGGACGTCTGGATAGGAAAGAGAAAAGAGACACAGTGGACATGGACAGGAGAAGGCATGTAACGTAAAGACAGGAGAGGAAAGGAGAGAAGGGGGTGAGAGAGGATGTAAGGATGAAGGGAAATGAGTGAAGGGGCGAGGAGGACATGGAGGATGGATGAAAGAATCAAGGAGAAAGATGAGAGATTGGAGGGTGGAAGGAGATGCAATAGCGGAACAAGAGATGAAAGAATTCAAAACTGAAACTGGCAGAGGTGAAGGAGAAAGATGTGGAAAGGACGACGAGAGAGGATTGAAAGAGGGTGAATAAGGAAGGAATAAAGGGAAAGAGAAGAAAAAATGAGAGGTTGCAGGAGGTAAGGAGAAATCAGGGTGACAAAGAAGGGAAGAAAGAAAAGTGGAGAGTAGTGAAAAGGTGCGGGGGGAAAAAAGACAAGAAAGAGAGTAAAACTTGAAAGGCACAAGTTTGAAGAAGAAGAAGAAGAAGAAGAAAAGAAATGATGAAAGAAAATGAGGAGTAGTTTGGACGTAGTAGGGAAAAATAAGGAAGAAAGTGAGCCAAGAGGGGGCACGGCAGAGTTAAAGGCAAAGTAAGAAAGATGATGTGCAGAATTTAAATCACGGGAAAAGAGAAAGGTAAAATGGAAAAGAGAAGGAGGAGGAGGGGGGGGGGTGTTTAGAGAGAAAATGATGTAAGAGTCAGAGAGAGGAGAAGGAGGAGGAGGGGTGATGAAGATGAGGTGAGAGAGAGAGAGAGAGGAAAACATAGCCGAGATGTGAGCAACAGAACAAGACAGAGAAAGACAAAGAGGGGAGTAAAAAAGAGAGAAGATGCAAAATGAGAATGAGAGACGGAAGGAAGTGCAAGACAGAGAAAGAAAAATAAAACAGAGGAAGCACAAATAGCAAGGAGCATGAGGAAGACAGTGAGGAATGGGAGAGGGGAGGAGGGTGAAGGAGGAGGGAGGCGAGGGGGGGAACATAAGAGAGACATAAATGGCTTTGTCATCAATGAGAAATCCAGCTATGAAAGAGGGAGAGAGAGAGAGAGAGAGAGAGAGAGAGAGCGCAAGCGACCAAGATAGATGATGATGATGAAATGCTACGAAATAACCGCTCGTTTCCGTGATAGCATTGACCTCTACGGTGTTTGTGCTCGGTGATTGCTGACTTGTCTGTCTCCCCCGCCTTGCTATCTGTCTGTCTATCGAAACGTCTGTCTCGCTTTCTCAAAAAAAGAAGTTTCACCTTTTGTTTTTCTGGCGCCATCGTGCAGAGTAACAGCCAGAGCAGAGACCTTCAAATACGTCAAGTCAAAAGAAGACAGACTTCAGAGAGGTTTTCAGTTACAGTTGTGGTTGTTTTTTTTAAAAGTCCCATATTCTGCTTTTTCTGGTTTTATATGCTCTTTAGTGTGTTTTCCATGTGTCCTGTGCATGTTTAGGCACATCTATGTGCAAAAATTCAAAGTCCGCGGAAACATGGCTTCTCCTACGTCCTCCTGTTAGCTGTAGCATTAGCTGCATGTAACGCTCGGTTCTAGCCCCCCTCGAAAAAAATTTGTCAGTGCGACGTCATCGTCAGTGTGAGATCACTGATCTAAGCCCATTGGCTCGTTGTGGCAAGCCCTGCCGAGAATTAAAAACATGATTTTCATGATTGTATGTTTGTATTACGCTATCCAGAGGCGCTGCTTGTCAGCAGGCAAGGCAGGCAACTGCTTGGGGCCCCAGACCAGTATGGGGGGGGGGGGCCTCTGAGGGCTCACAAACTTAAAACCAAAGCTGTGGCCCATCATTTGTAAGTTTTGCAATGACAGTAGGAGTCCCTAAGTGGGCCCCATCTGACAGCACTCACTCTCATTTCCCTGAAAATGAAGATAAATGATCCATCTACAGGAGAGAATAAAGAAACAAGAAAAGAAGAAGAAGAAGAAGAGGAGGAAGCGTCGGGACTCTGGCAGACGATGACGGTGATGAACGCCGGTTGGAGGGCCGTCCAATTGAGTTTTGCCTAAGGCCCCAACAGACTCTAGAATCGCCACTGACTCTATCCACTGTCCAATCTCTAAATGAAAGCATAAATAGCCCAAAAATAAAGTGCTGAAAAGACACCATTGTATGCACTTTTTCAAAAAACAAATTCCAACTTTTAATTGGAAAATCAAAAGAAGTCCAAATGTAAATGTGTGTGTGTGTGTGTGTGTGTGCAGTGCTGTAGTGTGTTATGGCCACTGCCTGTTTTCATACCATGTTTATTTGCCTTCCTCAGTATTGAGCCACATCTGTGTCTGTTTGTCTGTTCATCTCTTTGTCTTTCTTCCTGTCTCACTATGATCTCCTTGTCTCTCCATCTCCCCATCTGTCTGTTTACCTGTCTGTCTCTATAGCGATCCACACACACACACACACACACACACACACACACACACACACACACACACACACACACACACACACACACACACACACACACACACACACACACACACACACACACACGCACACACCTCTGTTTCTCGGTTATTTTATCCAACACTACTTTATCTTCATGCCTTATCACTAAGCAAGGTCGCTACATTTGTCTTCATGAGCTACCCTCTCTGTGTGGGTGTGTGCGGGGGTGTGTGAGGTATACGGTCACTCGCTCAAACACACACGCACACACACATGCACACACTTATCCATGCCCTCTGGACCCTGCGCTCAACTATCAGTCTCCTTAATTCCCTTCCCCTCATCTCTCCTCGATCTCCCCTCTTTCTCTCACTCTAGTTCGTCTCTCACACATCTCACCCTTTTCTAATCTTTTCTCACTCCAGGCCTTTTGCCCTTTTTTTTTTAAAAGGTTCTTTCTTTTCTTCATTATAAACTAAGTATATTGCTCGCAAACTGTGGTGTGATGGATATCGGGAAAAAAACCCAATATGATAGGTACTTACGGGGGTTATATCGATCGGTGGGCCCCTGAAAATTGTACATGTGCCTCGCGCTGTTTAGCCTGTGATGTGGGCAACATAAAGAGTCTGCCAATAGGTCACACTCTGCTGTTTGTTTCTGCAGTGAGGGGATGTAATGAATGTATAGAGATGAAGGAGATTAATGGATAAGGTGCGTGTAAGTGTGTGTGTTTGTGTTAGAGAACACAAATGGTGTTGCAAAGTCCTCCTGTCTATTTTCTCAAAGCACATGTCAGGTGGCTGTTTTTTGGAGCACCTCCAAGGATTGGATGGACATCAAACTCTCAACATGTAAGCGTGGAGATCGCAATTTCTGACATTTATAGAACTTTAAAAAGAAGTGAAAGTTTGTGTTCTAGTCTTATTTTCTTATTCCGAATGCTTAAAGGAGAAAAACACAAATCACATCTCTATTATGAACAGCAGAAATGTGAGTATTGAAGGATGAGAGCAGTACAACATACGGGCATATGTTCCCTGCTTCAATCAGGGTTGTGACTCTCACTCCCACGCATAAAATAACACAAACATCACTGTACTTATTATCATGTTACTTCAGCATCTTCTGCACTGTTTCATATTTCGTCTTGTAAATATTAGTCGTTTCTTATTATGTTTACTGTTGATATTTAATGTTGTACCTTTACATATGAGAGCTCAGTTCACTGAAGTTAAATTCCTTGTGTGTGTGTGTGTGTGTGTGCATACCTGGCCAATACATCTGATTCTGATTCTGATTCTGTACTAGTAAAAGCAAATATCTACAGTAGTTCTTAAAAGTTTCTTTGGGGAACTTTTGGTTTGTGTCAGGCAACGACCTCTCGTGTTGAAAAATGAAGCCAATGTGGAAGTGCAAAGAAATGCAGAAGTCAAGGAATTCTTGTCAACACTCAAATTAAAATGCACAGCAGAAATAAACATAAAACACACTGTATAGCACACACTGGGTGGGAGGTTATTTAAAATAAGAAATATGAAATAATAAAATATGAGGAATTTGATTTACGCATACATTTGCTTAATTAAACTGATCTGACTGAGAGGTGGACATGTTGTACCCTTTACCAGGAGGATAAAAAGCCCACCTCAGCTGACTTAAAGTTAGTGAGAGACAGCGTTTTAAAAATGGTAAACACCATCGTTGGGCTTCAAAACTCAGCTACTGAAACCAATGGTACTACGTCCATGTTTTATACAATCAATGGTTTGTTTACAGCCACGTGTGACGTTGATGATAATTTCTTAATGTGTAGTTGGTGTGTTTTCTGACCAAAATATCTCATCCTCCTTCTTCTAACAGTCAAATGTAGCAATCATTTTGAATGTTTTGCTGTTTAAATTGCTACAAGTACGCTACATAAAAGATGAAAGTTAGAAGTTATCAATGAATTCCTGGAAGAAAGGAAGCTGGATTCTCCACAGCATAGAGCAGTGGCATCATGTCACAGTGAAAGTTCTGCAGTTGAGAAACACTGAAGCTGATGCACCAAACAGTGGGTCTCTTTTTTAATCAGGGTCAATTTCAGATGAAATTCGACAGCGATTGCAATGTGTTTTCTTCCTGCTTGTAACAAAAGGGGCATTTATATCCGCTACAGCCCCGTTTTGTGCTTCAGACTGAGCTCTTCTCCATGGCAACGTCATCCGAGGTTCACTGGTGTCAGAGAGTG